GAAGAGGAGGAGGAAGAGGAGGAGGACGAAGGAGGAGAAGGAGGAGGAGGAGGGAGGAGGAGAAGGAGGAAGGAAGGAGAAGAAGGAAGGAGAAGGAGGAGGAAGAAGAAGAAGAAGAAGAAGAAGAAGAAGAAGAAGAAAAAAAAAAAACGAGGGAGGACAAGAAGAAGAAGAAGAAGAAGAAGAAGATCTCTCTCTCTCTCTCGTACTAACACACTCACCGTGGCGCGCGTCGGGGGCCGTCGGGGGGGGTCGGCGGGCAGCGCGATGGTGTTCTTCGCCGGCGTCGGGGGGGCATCGACTGCGTTGGCGGGCGCGGGCTTCGAAGGCGACGACGAATGCACCCGTCGACCGAAGTGAGGCGTCGGGTCGGGCATAGTGAACAATCGGGCGTTAAACCAGAAGCAACACATGAAAAAAAAGGCCCGGTAGGCCCAATTTGAACTATTTCAATCGCGGCCTATCTGGGCCGTCGATCCTGGAGATCGACGGCGCAGATGAGCCCCGATTTGAAATTGTTCAAATCGGGCCTACCGGCCCTTCTTTTTTTTTTTTTTTTTTCCATCCACGGCCTCGTTTGGGGGGGAGAAGGCCCCCCGCGACGAAAAAAAAAACACAAAAAAAAACCCTCAACGATGCGCTGGGGTCGCCCAGTGGCCAACCGGGCGGAACGACCGGCCAGGCGGCCCGGCCCCCCCCCGGGCGACGAGCCGGCCGCCGGGCGGCCCGGAGTTCAGCCTAGTTTTTTTTATATTTTTCCTGGAAAGAGCACGACCTAATCTACAGGATCTCAAATTTTCAGATTTCTTTAGTCCATTTTTCAGAGTGCGAAAAGTTGCCAAAGTTCGTGCTTGAAAATTCTTAGACCGGACCCGCATTTACCTGCCGGTCGCGCCCCCCCCTTAAGAACCTGGTCCGTAAGGCCAGGAAAGTCTATTTTAGGCCGGGCAGGGTAGTGGTGGTTTAAGTGGGGTACAGATGAAATTTCCCAAAAAAAAGATATCATCTTCGAACACACTGGCCCAACGTAAATTCAGAGTTATTTTCACTCGTTTGATTGCATCTGGGTTAGAACTCAGCGGCGTGGTCCCACTTGCAAAGAGGACTGAATGCCTGAATCTGGACTTGTTTGCTGAGAGGTGCAGAAAATTGTGATTGATAATTTGATATCATCAACCCGCTTTCTTCCCAAACATACACACATATGCAACCCTCCGAAAACCATGATTTTTGTCTCTGATTTTTGTCTCTCTCGCTTGCTCTCACGCAACACACACACACACACACACACACACACACACATTTTTGTCTCTCGCCTGCTCTCACACACACACACACACACACACACACACACACAAACCCACACCAACACGCACACGCAAACCCACACCCACAAACATACACGTTCGAAATCTTAACGATTGCACATTCGTTGAAGATGTGATTTACACGTTGAAAATGGAGGAAGATGACTTGCACATGTTTCTTCTGAAGTTGAGAAAACTCGTTCACTATTTTGATTGGTTGCCTACTTTGTTCGGAATTTTCGCCATTGCCTTCTGCCGCAGCACTTGGGTTATCATTTACAACCGTGTGCTTGGATCAGTGGCAGCTCATAGGACAGCTCATGCTGCAACTATGTACAAAGATGCTCCTTTGTAGTATCTATCCTCCTTATTTTACACAACCTGAAAGTAATGAAATAAAATAGTACGACCCTATTCGGACTAATCTCGGTTCCTTTGCGCTGACTGGACTCTCCCAGACTTCAATGAACAAACAAAGAATAAACAAAAACAGTTGCAGAACAAAATACCCCATCCCACGAGTTGGGTGGTAGAAACCTCCCAATCCTTGAAGACCTATTCCCTCCCTTCAGCAGGATGGCACATGCCTCTGAATACTTGAGACTCAAGCATGAGTGGCCCTCGTCTCCCGTCTCCTCTGTGCCAGAACCTTCTGCCACTAGTTACATAATTTGAACCTCTCTCTCCCGTCTCCTCTGTGCCAGAACCTTCTGCCACTAGTTACATAATTTGAACCTCTCTCTCTCTCTCTCTCTCTTTTGCCGTTTTCTCAATATGTTATGTGCGAATTGTGCCTCTTGCTTCTGCTGCTGCATGAACCATCCCCTCTGGGCTTCGTGATGCTGCACATGACCACATTCATTCATACTCCGCACAATGCGCATTGAATGGGCCCAGTCTCGGCTACATGGGATTGGTTCCATCCCTCAAAGCACTCTGCATCCTTTCCATGTGTCGTCAGGCCTCACCAGTTCTTGCCTGTGCAGCCCTCGCATCACAATTAATTAGAGACTCCAGATGTCTGATTGACACATTGAGAATCTGCACGGGTTGCCGCTGTGTGGTGGTGATCACTCCAGGTCTGCGTGTGGTAGCTTCGTTGTGTCTTGGCTACAATTTCTCAATGACCCAAGACACAGATGCGGATTGGTATCCACGAGTACCAAAAGCTGGGACAACACCAGTGGTTCCGGCATTACTGCGGTCATACAGTGGGCCCCACAGACCAAGAGCGGGCGCGACCAATATGATGCTGACATGCAAACGCAAGGTGTTCTCTGGTCTCTTGTAATATTTCTTTTTACCACAAGTCGACATGCATCCACCCTGCACCACTTTCAGCTGGATATGGTGTGCACAGACGGCTCCAAAACAGATGCAAACCTGTTCCAGCCCGGCCCCGTTGGTTGGATTGGGGCACATTATGCATGCCAAACCGTAGGATGCATGAAGAGTGGCATTGCAGACCGATTTCTGTCCCGATCCCACGACAGAGGCAGTCAACGATCAAGGGCGCGCTGTGACCACTGACATTACCAGCAGCAATCGACATTTGCCATTCACCATTCGCCATTTGATATATCAGTTGTAGGGCAGTTGTTGATGCTTAACCACGACCGGGGTTAAGGTGGATTATCACTTACAATGGAATCAGTTAGGGGATTCTGCAGACTGTTGAGGGTCCAGCCTCCTGACGAGTCGGTGAAACTCCGACAAAACAGTTTGTCGCAGCCCCTCGTCTGTTGTCCTCTTCTCCCTCTCTGCCTACGGTTTACCGAGCAGTTCTGATTGACGATATACACCAGCGGCTCCCGTGGGTGAAAACCACAGTACCCGACCTTATCTCTTCACTGTTCATCGGAACGACCTTCTGTGACATTTGCAGTGCGTGTCTGGCCACTGATGAGTCCGACGGGACGAAACACGCAGAATAGTCCGTGTGCTACCGGTTCACGCATGGGAGAGTTTAGAGAGAGAGAAAATCGACGGAGCGGTAGTTGCCGCGTAGGAGTACGCCACCTTCGCAAGTGTGTCGTAGCCAGAAAAAATCTTCTGGGGAGCTTGCATTTGCGAGAAGTATCGTTCTTATGTCACGATATATATATACATGTATATATATATATATATATATATATATATATATATATATATAAGAACATAGAAGATGCAAGATCAAGGGAGGGACACATCCCCTGCTCCTCCTGTTGCCAATCTACTACTTTGGCCTGACAAAAATCAGGCCTGGGTCCGCTAACTAACAGAACGACTCCTTTCATTTAATCGGACAAGCTTGAATCCTCCCGATTCTGTTCCATCTATCCATCAGTCCGATCCAGTCTTCCACTATCGTTTTGAGGCCATGTTCAGTCAACCATGAATAACATATGTTCAAAGTATGTTAACCAGGAATGACATTGGTTCAAACCCAGTTAACCAGAAATAACATTGGTTCAAACCCAGTTAACCAGAAATAACATTGGTTCAAGCCCCCTCAACCAGGAACATATTGGTCCAAAGTTCGTCAAGCAGGAAGCCTTTCGGTGCAATGCACATCAACCAGGAAGTCGATCGGTTCACGCTTCGTCACCCAGCAAGCACACCAGTCTAAAGATAGACCACCAGGAACATGATTGCTCTGGAGTTTGTTAACCAGCAAGCTGACTGGTCTACGATAAACCACCAGGAATCCAACTGGTTCACGCTCCGGTCTGAAGTTCGTCAAGCACGAAGCCTTTCGGTTGAAAGCTTATCAACCAGGAAGTCGATCCATTCATGGGTGCTTTGTTTTTGTCACCCAGCAAGCCCACCAGTCTAACGATAGACCACCTCCTACATGATTCTCTGGAGTTTGTTAACCAGCAAGCCCACCGGTCTAAGATAGACCATCAGGAAGCCCACTGGTCCACCAGTCTGTGAAGTTCCCGAGTGCCAAATTGAAATCCGGGGAAGAGATACGGGCCCAACCTGTACCGCAACTTCTTCTGCCTTAGGTCCCTATACCCAAGGGGCAGATAGAAAAAAGAACAAGAGGGGAACATCGATCGTCACCCTTACCCCAAAAGAAGATTGGTGAGTCCAACTTATGCTCCAACATATGCCCCAAACCTCCGGTTTAAACTTTAAACCTGCGTACCGACATAATTCACGACTCCGCTGCAAACCCCTCTTCATCAAACCTCCGCTTCAAACCTTTGTATCAAAGGTATGCAAGAATCTCCATTTCAAACTACACTCCTTACCTCTGAACCAAACCTGTAGACGAAACCTGCGGATCAAACCTGTGCACAATAGCTGTGCTTCGAACCTTCTCAGTTCCAAACCTGCTGAGTTCCAAACAGTGGTCCAACCTGTGCACAGGTCTGTGTTCCGATCTTTGCTTCAACATGCACATCAAACCGGTGCACAAAAGCAGTGCACCCAACCTGCATTCCAACCCGTGCAGCAACCTGAGGTCCAGACAGTGGTCCAACCTGTGCACCGGCCGATGGTCCAATCTTCCCTCAAACCGGCACATCAAACCTGTGCACAAAAGCAGTGCACCCGGCCGATGGTCCAATCTTCGCTCAAACCGGCACATCAAACCTGTGCACAAAAGCAGTGCACCCAACCTGCATTCCAACCAGTGCAGCAACCTGAGTTCCAAACAGTGGTCCAACCTGTGGACCAGCCTGTGTTCCAATCTTTGTTCAAACCTGCCCATGAACCTGACGGGAAAAGCTGTGCACCCAACCTGCGTTCCAACCCTCGCATCAACCTGAGGTCCAGACAGTGGGTCCAACCTGTGCACCGGTCGGTGTTCCAATCTTCGCTCAAACCTGCGCATCAAACCTGTGCACAAAAGTAGTGCACCCAACCTGCATTCCAACCCGCGCAGCAATCCGAGTGCCAACCAGTGGTCCCACCTGTGGACCAGCCTGTGTTCCAATCTTTGCTCAGAGTTGCCCATGAAACCTGTGCACAAAAGATGTGCACCTAGCCTGCGTTCCAACCTGCGTTCAAAACAGTGGTCCAACCTGTGGACCAGCTTGTGTTCTAATCTGCGCACAAACCTAGAAAACAAGTCTGCTCTGCACTTCTGGACCTGTTGTGGCCGCCTTTGGCGTTGCTGAATCCGTTGGGATCGCCCACTTGATTGGGCCATTTCGTAGACAGGAATACCAAATGTTCCAGGTCTGGAATCCAGGAGCAGGTTCAACCTTGGACTGGCTCAGTTGCAGACTGCAACCAGGTTTCACGATGTTGTCATGACATCCACCTAACTACCACTCTGTCTGTTATTCAAGTAAGCTCATGGAAGCAGGTGTGGCTTATTATGAACCGCAGCGTAAACGATTGGGGGACTGGAAAAAATGTAAAAATCAGTGTAAAGTATTCATAATAAGCGCTGAAGAAGGGAACTTAAGGGAAGCATTCGGAAAGAACAAGAATCTCCTCCATTCCGGCATCTATCTTGGCACTCTTGATGATCTAATGGCCGACTAGACAGGAGCTGCAGCACAGCCTCCACTGCTCCGATGAACGGCAGAAACATCCACCCCTCTGCTCGATATCGCCTGCCTTCTGGTTGGGGGCACCGCTGTCTTAGTACTCTTGAAGATCTAATGGCTGGCTAGACAGAAGCTGTAGCACAGCCTCCATGTACGGTAGAAACACCTGTGCATGGCCTCCACCCCTATGCTCAATATCGCCTGCCTTCTGGTTGTGGGCACCCCTGTCTTGGTACTCTTGAAGATCTAATGGCTGACTAGGGAGGAGCTGCAGCACAGTCTCCACTGCTCCGACGAACGCTGGAAAGAGATATGCATGGCCTCCACACCCCTGCTCGATGTCCCCTGGCTTCTGCTTGTGGGCACCCCTGTCTCAGCGGCACTCTTGAAGAACTAATGGCCGATTAGACGGGCTGCAGCACAGCCTCCACTGCTCTGACGAACGCTAGAAAGACCTGTGCATGACCTCCACCCCTCTGCTTGATATCGCCTGCCTTCTGTTTGTGGGCACCCCTGTCTTGGCACTCTTGAAGATCTAATGGCCGATTAGACAGGGACTGCAGCACAGCCTCCACTGCTCCAACGGACGCGGGAAACACCTGTGCATGGCCTTCACCTCCCTCCAATGCCAACCCCGACTTGCTCGAGGGCATTATATGCAAATGGGACTTTTCCAGGTGTATCTGACTGTAGTTACCACCAGACGTGGACAAATCTGACCACAATTATGTCCAGAGTTAGTCCAGAAAGTCCTACGGTGAGTATGCCCCGAGAGTGAAAAGAACCCTTTGATTGAAGATAGAGTGGAATGCAGAGACGGATGCCATCCGGGGTGCCGCCGATGAGCAAAAGTTCTGCGCTGATGAAGGCATAAGACAACAAGCTAATGCAGCGAGTAGTGACAACTACTGTCTTTCCCCGAATAGCCATATTTGGCCCAACTTTCAGTCCACATGCAGCTAAAATGTTATTAGCAATACAGGCCTCTTCTGACGCATATGCAGTCGAACCCGACCACGGCGGTTCCGCTCCCTGTAATCCATGGCACTAACAAGAATTCTGCCGAAACTTCGAACCCTTTTGCTAAAAAGGGTTCGATCGCGCATGATAGACGGAATGCCTTCGAACTTCAAAGCCCCCAAACATGTCGAAGAAACATCACAGTTGACCTGTTGTTCGAGCTGCACAAAAGTCTGCGAAAAGAGGTGACGACTCAGTATTACGTCACTTCTTCATTACCCAAAAAGAGCAAGAAGAAATGATCGGCTTTGACGAGTGCTCAGGCAACCTGAATCTCAGGCAGAACCATTTTCACCTTCCCTTTTTTCCCTCACTGGGCAACGAGTGCCCTCCTAACCCTAGCTGCCTCGACGATACCCACCCTCCCTCTCCCCCACTACCCTGGCCCTCCACTTCCCTTCCTGCACATCCCCCCTCACTACCCGACAACTGGTTCGAGGCATCTCTCACGTACCTGTCGAGAAGTAAGGGAGAGGCATAAGCTTCATCTAAGTGCCACCTATCTGTCTGACCAGAAGGAAATTCCTTCTCTCTTCACCTCTCATCAAGTGCTCAAGATGAGAGCTGTGAACACAATCCCACCCTTCCTCCTCCCCTACCCTGGTCCTCCATTTCTCTTCTTGCAGATCCCCCCTTACAACCTGCCTCCGGGTTCGTGCACCTCTCTCACCTGCCTGTTGAGAAGAAAGGAGTGAGCAGAAGGTTCATCAAAGTGGCGGCTATCTTTCTGATCAGTTGTCCTTCTCTCTTCCGCTCTGATCACGTTCTCAAGATGAAACCTGCGCGCACAATCCCTAGGCAGCGGCATTGAACCCCCGGAATATTTCACCATCCATATCCATCAACTTGAGGCCATGGAGGCTCTCCCATTTCGTTGTTAGAAACTAGCCAGTACGACCGGCTTGTACACATGAGCTTTCCGGTGATTTTCATACCGGAATCCTCGCGTGTATACACCCACGATTAGGGTGACTTGTGTTCCGGGGAAGATCATAGCCCTCTCTTTCCGGTGATTTTCTCTCTCCGGCTGGTGCTTGAGGGATCCATGGTATGCATGAATTTACGCTCGCATTCCATGCCTTCCTGCGGTTATGTGTCTGCTGTCAACGAGAACTGTTCGCCCCAACAAAAAGTCAAAAAGGAAAAAAAGAACTGTTCGCTCCGAATGTGGTCCACACTGTGTGGCCTCTTCCTGCAGCACATGGATTCTGCTTCTTACCACTGCAGCCAGCGACTAGAAGTGGTCAGCAGGCAAGCCTCGTAGCTCTCCTGCCAGTTTTTGAGAACGTGGACGACAACTACCGGGCATGCGAGAATTGCACCGCTCATGTCCAGCCTAATAGGGAGGATCTTCCCTTTGTCCCAAGACCTCCTCATTTTCGTTCTTCCTCCACAGGTGACCTGGCAAAGCAAAAGCAACTGCAACGTCCTCGTTCCCCTGACAAACGTTCTCGTTCTCCCAACAACGCTGACGTGCCTCTTCATGCCTCTTCAGTGACCCATGTGGACATGAGACTTCTGTGACGGGTCGGAATTGTGGCCGTAATAGCCGTCGCATAGATCTGTGGTGGGTCGCAATTGCTGCCAGATACATCATCGTTTTCTTTCTCCCCGCATTACAGCGATCTGACAAGGCAAGGTGCAAGTGCAATCTCCACGTTCCCCTAACAATGGTGACATGCCTCTTCATGGAGCTTCACATATCCATGTGGGCATGAGACATCCATAGGAGGTTGTAATTGTCGCTGTGGTTGCGGTCAGATACATCCGTGCAGGTCGTTATTGTGGCCAGATACGTCAAGGAAATTGCTAGTATGAGTTCACTCCGCATCTCTAAGAAATGCCTCCTCATACCGCCTGTCCAATGAGTCTCCATGGATTCACGTGGGCATGGCAATGCTGACATGCCTCTTCATGCATCTTCACAGGTATCCATGTGCACATGATACATGCGTGGTGGGCTTGCAATTGTGGCTGTGATTGCAGTCAGATACATCTCGACGGGTTGTGATAGTGACCAGATACATCAAGTGCCAGTGTGAGCACGCCCTACAGATACATCTCGACGGGTTGTGATTGTGACCAGATACGTCAAGTGCCAGTGTGAGCACGCCCTAATACGCCCTAAGAATGCCTCTTCATGGATCCATGTGGACATGGCATGTTGCACTCCAAGAGCGTACTCACACTAACGCTTCCATTGATGTCTCTGGCCACAATCATGACCCGCCGCAGATGTATCTGACCGCAATCGTGGCCCGAGCTGCGTTGAAAAAGCCCTTCCATGATCATATATATGTGTTTGCTTTGCAGAAAAGCTGGAACTGTAGCACATATATATATATATATATATATATATATATATATATATATACGCACACATATATATATATGTATGCATATATATATACACCCCCTTCATGCACGGTGGAGATGGTAGCAATCATAACAGCGATGATGATGGCGGTGGCTGTCATGATGCTGCTGCTGCTGATGATGATGATGATGACGGACCATCACACCTAAAGTCAAATCAAATGGAGGCTGCCTTGGAAATCGACAGATTACCAAACCAAACCTGTATTGAAATTTTAAATGGAGCTCTCTTCCTCTCCTCGTCGGGGAGCATGCACACTTGAGGCCACGATATTCGAAAACCATGTGATGTTCAATCAGATGCGTCATGCACTCCACCGACGAACTCTCCTGTCTCCCATCTCCCATGGCAATATATTTCTGGCCACTTGTACCCGCAGTCCACCACATCGTTGAAAACTCTCTCCTCCGCTTCAAGCTACTCTTGCCTCTCTTAAATATGCACATTCATTGAGCATTTTAAATGTATCGGGATGATCACCAGGTCCACGTACATGTAAAGTATTATGCATTGGAGCGAAGCCCAATTCCGTACTCCTGCCATATTGAGAAGTAGTTTGCACTGCGATTGCTAAGGACTGGGGGGAGTCATTGGGCCTTGCTCCACTACACAACACTCTACATGTATGTGGACCTCGTAATCCCCCCGATACATTCAAAATGTTGGACTGCTCCAAATGCACCCAGTCTAGAAAGGCATCCAAACGCATGCAGAGTGTTGGGCAGTGCAGCGAGGCCCATTGCTGCTCTTCAAACAACAATACAAAGTACTACAAACAAATCCAGATGTTTACCTCAGCGTGGCATTGCCCACTCCATTCACATTGCTTGTGTACTTTATCATTCCTCGCCGCCCTCGAGGTCTTCGTCTTCCTTCCTCCATGTTCCATATTTGAGAAGGCAGTGGCACTGAGAGTGCTTATGCACGGGAGTCACTTTCCACCTTCAAGCGCGAGGGGGCACATCCAGATATTCTCCGCTGTGAGGCACTGTCGACTCCACTGCTTGAAGACTACTCCACCTACCTGAGATGACCAACTGGGAAATCATCATCCTCAGTCTCTTGCTGTCAGAAGGAGCGTGTTGTTCTCGGTGATAGCTGGTGTTTGTTCTGCAAGTGAATTTCAGCATGGCATTCACAAGCACGCAGCGTGTCCGGGCATTTAATGACACCCATGTCATCGTTCCCTGTAGGGCTTTGAGTGTCTCCTCTTTGTCTAGTTGGACAGTTACGTCCGCAAATCCCAGTTTTCCTCTCTCCCTCTCCCTTCTGTCTCCGCGGTGAACTTCACCATAGGAAGACAGTTCAATCGCATTGGATCAGGCGGTTGATCCAGTGTTTCAAGCAAGAGGTGCAATCCAGAGGAGAGAAGAATATCAGATTAGAATGCTAACACAGGAATCATCCTTCTCTCCACTGCTTGACACCTTTCCTCTCTCTGTCCCCCTTCTCTCTCCATGGTGAACTTCACCGACGGCAAGACAGACCAACTGCATAATTTTTTTTTTTCAGGCGGTCACCTCAGTGTTTCAAGCAAGAGGTAGAATCCAGAGCGGAGAAGAATATCAAATTACGATGTTAATACGGGAACCATCCTTCTCTCCACTGCTCGAAGCCTCTCCTCTGGGAAGAACGATGCCCTCCTCGGGGTCGTCATTATACTCTGCCTGCGGAGCACTGCCGTCGTCCTCTGCCATCTCCACCATCACTTCCTTTCCTGTGGCCTTCTTCACTTTCACTATTACTGTATGTGCTGCCGGTGTGTCATCCTTCTTATCGAGTTCCATCTGTTTTTCATCTTGTGGTCGTGAATGGCCAGCATCACCATCCTCAAGTTCGTCATCCGATTCCGAGTCCGAGTAGTCGACCGGCGGATATTCCTCCTCTTCTCTGTGACTGGCATACGTCAGCGATAACAGCGCCATGTCCGGCGTTCTGAATTCCTTTGTTCGCCACAAACTGGTTGACGGTCCTGAAGCGCTCGCAGTTGGGTTTTCGTGTGCTTTACCTCTCAGGTCTATACACAGATTCACCTCTTTCTTCGCCGCTGCACCGACTCCTGGTTGAGATGGAGGATGTGTGGAGCTGCCTCCAACATCTTGGTCCGCGCGGCCGAGACTGCCAGTCCGGTAGATGAATTGCGGTCCATTGTTGATTAGCGGATTTTCTGCAACGCGGACACCCCTTCCCGACAAGAAGCCACCACCACCGCCTCGGCCAAAGCTAACAGCTTGGGGATGTGGAGGAGAAGGCATGTTCATTGGCACTGGTGGCTGATGCGGGTAGAGATCGTGCATGAAAGGGTGAGCCTGTGGCTGCGGAAGCGGATAAGGATGCGGATGAGAAGGGAGGGCCACTGGGATATGGTGCGGGGGAGGTTGAGAGAGGAGATACCTTCCATCAAGTTGCGGGGGGATATTCGGGGTCGGCAACAAGCCCCTTCCACCCAAATCCATGCCTCGGGGATGCGTATCTGCACTTCCATTTGGCTGCCCCACACCGGCACTGCCATTTGCCGATCCCATAGAACTTGAGCCTGACCCATAGGCAGACCTGCCTGACCCTCCCCCACTCGACCCATGGCCGAGCCCGGGATTAGAACCTCGTCTCATAGCTGCAGCTGTGCCTGATCCAGAATTTCGTGGACCGCGTCCTCGCCAAAAGCGTACCCACCGGAGAGCACCTGCAAAAGGCCCTCCACCGCTTCTCATTCTCCCTTCACCATTATCAACGGCCGGTCCACCTCCACTTTGCCGCGCACTGCTGCTGTTTGCCAGAGTTTCAAAGACTTCAACTCCTCCATCATCATCCGCGACAAACCCTCCGGAACCGTCCGAATCTCCTCCGACAAGGCTGTCCCACCCAGATGCCAGTCCCCGGCTCACCGCAACCCCTCCTGGTGGAGGTCCACGAACCAACGCACCGCTGGACAATGAGCTTCCCAGCCCCGATGCCGCATGCATTGCTGTCACCCCCGATCCTCTGTCTACCCCTGCCACACTTCCTTCCAACCTGTTTCTCCTGTTAAAGAATATGCAGGGGAAAAAAATAAAAAATACAGGGAACACGCACAGTAACCGAATACCACAATGGCACACAAAAGAGTCAAAAAAAAAAAAAAAAAAAGTAGTATACGCTGTTCCGACCAAGCATTCGTCATTTCAAAGGTCACAATGGAAAGTTGGAAACAATGTCTGTGATGGGTCAGGAATTCTGCGTGCACTCTACATGTATCTGGACCTCATTGCATCCAATCAGGGTATTACATCCAATGCGGACTGCCGAAGAAGGGGCTGTCTCTCGATGATGACCCTCACCTGCTGCGTCCATCCATCTTGACCCCTCTGAAGAAATTTCTGGACCCTAACCTGCAATTTCTGCAAACCACCGCCGCCATTGAGAAATGTGCAGTTGAAGAAGAAATGAGCCTAAAGAATCAGAAACCCAGCCCATGTGGCTAAATGGTACACACATGCAAGTGCTAGTAGACAGGACATGAGTTCGAATCATTATGGAATCAGATGAATGCAATGAAGTTAGGGGCTACCGCCTTCTCAAAAAAGAGCCAAAACAGAAGCAACCACTACGCTACTTTCCCCTCCGATTTCATGCAATCTGATACACCTAGGGCCTCACTCCACTACTCAACATTCGACACGTACCTGGACTGCCGCTTCGACCAGATACATTAGGATTGATCAAACATTTTGAATGTACCATGAATCTTGGTACATCTGCTTGTCTCTCCAGCATCAGCCACAAAGCAGAGCAAGTCATGAGCTCGCACTTACCTGGAATCTGGATGCTGGTTCTTTCCTTTTATGTCTTTTCCTCAGAGATATAACCTTCTTTACAAAAAAGAACAAACGAAAAGAAAAACATTTGAACCGTTCCTCTATTCATGCCTGTCATCCTTGAAAGCGAAGGGGCAAGAAAGGAAAAGAAAAAAAGTGCAGGGGTCATGCTAATTAACCCTTCTATGTGGCATTCCAATTTTAACGGATGTCCCTCCCGAAGGACGAGATGTGGCCTGTTTGTTTGGTTATGGGCTAGCACTTGTTGGGAAAGACGCCCCCCTCCTGCAGACATACAACTACAATGGGGTCCCGTGTTGCTTGGCTCCAGAGCAATTTGAGACCGAGAGGAGTGTGTCAGGCTGAGATGACTGTATACGTATATGCCGACTAGACTGGTGGTTTCGGCTACTTGCTCAAACAATCATCGTCACCATCATGTGTAGTCTGCAGCCATATGTGAATGAACGTGGACACCATGGTCCATCCAGTGCATAAACTCCTTGAGTAGGGATCGTTCGTTCACACATGCAGACTTGCGGCGATCAAACCATCTTGCTAACATCTGCCAACCACGGAGTGAGCAAACTGAAAGAGATCGATTAGCCCTTACACCATCAGTCCTTACCTCTTGTCCCGTCCCTCTTCTCCTCCTCATTATGTCCTCTCCCTCCATGCCTAAGGCTAGCTGATCCAGTGGTCCATGCTATAGGCTGCTAGCCCGCACTTAACCTTTCCAGCCCAGGGTGTTATTCCCTCCCCCTCCCCTGTGAAAACTCAAAAGCAGAAATGCTCGAGAAACTCAGTACAAGGGGAACAACGGAGAGAAAGGTTGATGGGGCCCCTGCTCAACCAAGGACGACAGAACAAATCCAGAAAAGAAAAGGATGGTTATAGTCCAGGACTACAGACAGCCAGCAAGACCGTCCGGATGTCCTGTCCGAATAAAGTAAGTATACATTAATCTCAGGACATTCCAACTTTTTGACACAAAATCAGAAGAAAACATGAAGGAAAAAAGAACGATATGCAGCATTGCAATGCAAACAACTTTAACTGAGGGTAGTTTCAGAATTCGCAGCCGAACGGCCCAGGCATGCCCTGACTGGGCCATGCAGGGGGGTCCATGAGGGTGCACCAGACGGTCCAGAACATAGCAATATTTTTTTTCGGTCCCACGCTGTTGGCTGTTTCTGGACTCCCCAAACGGAGGGAGAATCTGGCCTTCAACACCAGTTCATTGGAACTAAGTCAGTCTCTTACCGGTAAATACGGCAAGAGATTTCGGCTTCAGTCTCCTGGACCCAAGGGGGTCACCTGCAGATGTGCACAATTCAGAGTACCCCCACGTAGGTGGTTTTGTTTCTTATTTCTGGCGACGAAAAGTTCCAAAAAAAATCAGGGATGTTGCTTAGGTGACTCTGCATCACGGAAAATAACTAAGAAAAAGACAAAAAATCGTTTGACCCATGAAAAAAACACTCATGCCAAACCAGTGCTGGACCACAGTTCGAACAGGGGGCCGTCCTCCACCCAGCAGCCTTGTCGTCGAACTGCCCAGTGCACTGGCCTGGCTGGCCCCTGGGCTGCCCTAGCGCATTCTCACTGTGCGTAAGGGGGCGGGGGGGGGGGCGGGTGTACCGGGCATGAACCCGGCTGGGCGGCCTTCCCACAGCCTTGCGGGGAGCGCGTCTTCAAAAAAAAAAACAGCAGTGCCTGAAGGCCTCACTTTTCAAATGAGAAGTGGTGGTCAACCTGGGCCACCGATCTTCTAAGATCGCCTGAGCAAATCGGCCACCTTTCCAAAACACTTACTGGTCATTCCCAAAGTGCAAATTCAATATGAAAGACAATGGCACCCAATTGCTAAAGAAATGAAAGCACTTGCAAAGAGATAGAGACCAGAGAAGAAGAAGAAGAAGAAGAAGAAGAAGAAGAAGAAGATGTACACCAGCAAGACCAATGACAAATCCCCCTTCTCTCTCCACCTTCCTCCTCCTCCTTAACCTCTCCAATCTTATTCTTCTTCCCAATAATAATAATAACAATGAGTGGATGAACCAGAA